TTCCTTCCTTCCTTCCTTCCTTCCTTCCTTCCTTCCTTCCTTCCTTCTTTCTTTCCTCCCTCCCTCCCTCATTCTCTTTCTATCCTGTATTATTTACTCTTCATTCTCTTTCTCTTCCTTTTCCCCTTTTTCCTTCTGTTGTTCCTTCCTTTCTTCCTCATTCTTTCTCTTCCTTTCTTCCCTTTTTCTTTCTGTTGTTCCTCCCTTCCTCCCTTTCCTCTCTCTTAGTGATGGAACTTCCAGTCTCAGTTGCGGTCATAACTCAAGGACTTCTCATAAGACCGATTACCTAGAGTAACTGTTAGGGATACACCCTAGCAGAATCTGCACGGCAGTCAGGCAGGCAGGCAAAATATGTGAGATAAACGTTTTTGTAGCTTACACTCAGTAAAAACAGATACACTGTGCTAGTTAAATAGTTTATTCCAGTAAGAGTTATAGCATAGTCAAACAGTCCATATATCATTCACTAATTCAGTCCATCCGGGGATTATTCAGTTGCAAAGTCCAGTGTCGAAAAAGAAGTCAGTAAACTTATAAATATCAGTCCAGTAATATATCTCCTCGCAGTAGAGATATGAAGAAGTCAAACCTCCTTTCTTCCTTCAGCAACTCAGCAGTAGGGAAAACACGCAGTTAACAAACCATCAATCCATCAAACCAGGAATCGTCAGCAATCCAGCAGGTTCTCTTGCTCCCTCTTATGGCGGTTCAACACCGCACCCAAAATTACATGCTTTGCAGTTTAAAGTGACACACACTTAAACTTACTAACATAGTTTATATATATTATTTTATCCAAACTACGTTAGGTAACCTTGTTATTCCTACAGTAACCCTATTCATGTTGATTCCCTGGCAGGAATTCTACGGCGAGAACATTAAAGAGTCCCCGGATTACGAGCGGATTGTGAGCAAGCGTCATTTCAAGAGACTGATGGGCCTTTTGGAAGGACAGAAGGTGGCCTATGGGGGTGAAAGTGATGAGTCTACCCGTTACATAGGTGAGCCCCCAAAATCAGATGCCCCAAAACCTCCCCAGGGAGAAAACACAACAACCCCTCCACTTATTGAACGCTTTTGTTTTATTGTGTAGGGATGGTATAAGGCCATGATGGCAAACCTATGACATGCGTGCCACAGGTGGCATGCAGTGCCATTTGTGTCAGCACACGAACTGCAGGCAAACTTACCTCACTGCGCATGCACATGCCTCACAGCTGATTTTCGGCCTGTTTGAGGCCTTTTTTTGGTATCGCAGAGGCTTGAGGGAGGCTTCTGCAGGCTTTGCAGGCCGAAAACTAGGCCTGTTTCGTCAC